TCTCTCTCTCTCTCTCTCTCTCTCTCTCTCTCTCCCTTTCTCTCTCTCTATACACACATATATATATATGTATATATACATATATGTATGCATGTATATGTATATATAAATTTCTTTCCTCGTTTGCTTTTTTTGAGACAGGGTCTCTCTATGTAGTCCTGGCTAGGTACTAAGTAGAAGACTGGCCTTTAACTCACAGAGATCTGCTTGCCTCTGTCTTCCAGTGCTAGGATTAAAGGAGTATTCCACCACACCTAGTCCCATAAACAGTAAGTTTTTTCAATACTATAGTTTTATAGTTGTAGAAAAAAATTTCCCATTAAGATGAATTATGATGGGACAAAGAAGCCATATGGGTACACTTACCTTCTCAGCTAACACTTGGGAGTATTCAATATCCAGTTCATACAGGGTCTCAATGTGATCACTGGTAAATGCTATTGGAACCAAAAGGATATTCTTCCTCCCCCTCTCACAAAGCCCTTTGATAGCCTCATCTGTTTGAGGACCCAACCACGGTACTGGGCCAACCTATAAGAAAGAGGATCAATGCAGAGATGGAACATTTCTCCTGACAGGTCATTAGCATTTATCACCATGCCGGCCCCCACCTCCAACACATATACAGAGCACACATATCTGCCCATCTAAATGAGAGACCCTCTTATACTTCCTTGAATGGGTTTGAGTATTTTCACATCGAAGCTTGAATCCTTCTAGAGGCTGGCCCAATGATACAAATAGTTTCTTCCATTAAAGCTAAAAGTCAGATATCAACTGATAGAACTCCACCAGTCATTCCCCTTCTATTGTCTTGTTTTTTGCAGAATTCTTTTGGCCCACAGTGAGCAGCTAACTTACAGAATAGCTTGCCGGCATGGAAAAGCTCAAATTCCCATTTGTAAATAAGTGATAAAGCAGATTTTCAAGATATGATGGCCTGAAAATGTATAAGAGGTACCTACCTTGGACTGCCAAACCAGTCGGTAGGGGTTGGGGTAACCTAGCTCTTCCATGACTTTGTGGACAGTAGCACCTACTTCCTGGGGATAGGGATCTCCTCTGTTGACAACCTGCAGTAGAGACAAAGTGATACGTAGAGACCAACACTGTGAAGGGAGCCAAGATCACTGGCTATGCAGTGAGAAGAGGAATATGAGGAGCCACACCCCTCCCTTGCTGTCTCCTGAACTAATGACAATTGTATCTGAGCACTGTTAGGAAAGTTCCTTGGTTCCAATCATTTATTGGCCAAAGAACACTGTATTCAGTTATCTACAAGATCCCAAAGAAGATGATGTTTGTGGAAGATGGACAAGGTCTTTCCCTGGAGATGGTTCTCTTTCCCTCCAGGACAGACAGAGTACAGAATGGCTGTACTCTGGTGGTAAACACTGGGGGAAAGGTAGAAGGAAGCAGTTCCTGGTTCAGATTACAAACTCTTCCCTATATGATCTATGCCTTCTACTCAATCTCTCTCCACCCTTCCCCGGCAACTGACAGTAGACAAATGATTTGTGAACAGTGAGGCTTGTGCTCCCAACAGGAAAGCCTATTAAAAACCTTTGAAGATATTCAGCATATATTTTATTTTAATTGCTTTCCCCTTTTGTGGAACACTGACTGCCTGACTCCGTCACCTTGCTTTACGGTGTTTATTACCTCCTGACCCATCATGCTATTTCCCTTCACGTTATGTTAATTATTTTTTTCCTGTTAATGTACATGGATAAAGGTGTTGTCTGTTTACTTCTTCCCCATATCTGATGTATATAAAAGGTGCCCAATAAATACTGTATCAATGAAATGAAATACTAAGAAAATATATTATGACATTACTAGTGGCCAAATAATCATTTAGAAACATAAATGTAGATGGAATGAAAGAAATACAAAGTTGCCTTTGGCACCGTATAACAATAACTGCTACAGGCAGGATGCACTCTAAGGCAGCTCCTGTGATGTTCCAGTATAAATATTCGCCTGCCCTCTCTGGAGCTTCGCTCTGGTACCTCGGGTCTCATCACACCTAGAATGGATCCTTGCAAAGATTTATGTGACACTAGAAAGGAGATGCAATCCCACCAAAATGAAACAGACAGACTTCCAAAGGGAGACATTTATCTCTAAAGCCATCTATTACTAATGCAGTGGCTTCATCTTGCAGGTGAGAGGCACAGTGCTTGACTCCCGTTACCATGAAGGAGCAACATAGTACCCTCTACCTGAGGCTGGTTGGTTCCATTAATTATGTGGTTCAGACTGATCCCATGTAAGGAAATGTAATCGCCCACGTCTAGGGCTTGGGAAACAGTGTTTTTGGGACAGGATTCTAGTTCTAAGTAGATGAAACTGGGTACTGAGTCCAAGATCTTTCAAATATCATACAGCACACTAGCATGGTATTGTCATGTTTCCTGAAATATAACAGCCATGACACAGAAGGTAACGTTTCAATGAACAACCCAGTATAATATGATGAACTAAGGGTTGAAAGCTGTATGCTATGTATTCTCTGGTCACACAGTGGTTCCTAGTTTTAGCAAATTTGAAACCATATTGGCTTCCTAGAATGCACAGGCTTCTGCTAGACAGAATCAGGCTTTAGTGTGAATGGAATTGTCTGCAGAAACTGCATAGTGCACTCCTTCCATACAGCAGACAAAAGCACACTTCGTTTAGCTGGTACACTTGTTGGAAATTCTTATATCTGGATGAATCTTCTAGTTATCATTTTAAAGAAAGCTACTAACAAGAGGTCTATTTGTGATATTGGGCATTGAATTAATTGCTGGGAGGTTTCAGCAAGCAAGGGCTGGGATTTTAGAATTCATTCTTGCACTGCACTGGGGACAGCATGGAGCCAGGTCCGTTTTACACATTTCCAAAATGAAAGAACCCAATCCTTTATCAGTAGGTCACCTAACAAAACATTTCTTACTTACGGACATTGGCAGGGAGTGGGCGGAAAACAGAATGACCACCTCGCTTCTCTTCTCCCTCGGAAAATGGTCCAGTTCTTTCAGAATGTGATCTGCAAAGCACTGTGGGAACCCCAAGAATGGGGGAGAAAGAAGGTAGTGAGAAGAGAGCAAAGAAGGGGAGGAAGGATCTCAGAAATGAGAGCTGTACCAAAAATCTCAGGGTAATCTTCCAAATCTGGAACTCTGTCTCTGTTTTTAAAAAATGCAAACGATACGGTCTCTCTGATGTGGTTCAGCTTTAGAATGGACAGCAATGGTTTCGGGGCCTAGGGAATTTGATGGGAAACTTCTAAAGCTCACTAATGGCTCTCTGCAAATGAGGATCTGCTTCCCCTCGGGAAGAGCAGGGCACACTTCCAGATGGAAAGGAAACACAGATGGGAAGGAGAAGTTGTTTTAAGACCTCGCATTTGCTCTGTTAGCAGGAAAACAGCTTACGGGGTCTTTCTAAATCTTCCTCACTTTGGCTCTCAGGCATATAGCACATTAAAATACATTAGCCAGAAATAGGAGAGAAATAAGAAAATACTCATCTATTTTTATGACATCTCTCTTATAAGACCAGGATCTGCACCAAAGCAATCTTCCCCACAAGCTTCATGATGACAGATGACTGGCTGTACAACCCCATTAAACACGCAGAGGGGGAAAAGATGTGGCGATGTGAGCACTGGATAGCCATATGTGTGAGTGTGGACTAGAATCCAGGTCCTTATGCCTTCAGACCTCTGTCCACCAGACCTGCTCCCTCTCGCTTCTAGTTGGCACTTGCTGATTCTCATGGGTAGGTGCTGAAACACAAGATCTGAAGAGACTTTCTTTCATCTTATACTTGAATCATTCCTGGCCATTTGACTTAGAAAAAAAATGTAGCAAAAGACACAAGTCAGTCAACTGATAGCCCAGGAATGTGACTGTAAATTAATTACACAGGAGTTGATCATCAGTGTTAAAATAAACTGCTGTGGAATTTTGTATTGTAGTTATCTTAAGAGAACAGCCCTGATCTCAAGGTAGGTGTGTGTGTGTGTGTGTGTGTGTGTGTGTGCATTATCTGCTCTCAGGTAGCAGAGAAAAAAATATATATGCAGACATATAAATATATACACATACAGAGAATGTATAAATGATAGGGCAAGTGAAACAAATGTTAACACATGAATACAAGAGTAGATGACAGTTCACTACAACATTTTTTAAGATATTACTTATTTTGTGTATATGGTTATTTCATCTGCATGTACATCTGTGCACTAAATGCATACTTGGTGCACACAGAAGCCAGAGGAGGCCATCAGATCCCCTAGGACTAGAGTTACTAATAGCTGTGAGCTTCCATGTGAGTGTTGGAACTCAAACTGTAGGTCCTTTGTAAGAGTGTCCAGTGCTCTCAACCATGGAGCCAACCCTTATTTTATTTTTAATGACATACATTTGTGTATGGGGGGTGGCAACATACATGTGAGTGAAGGTGCCTGCAGAATCCAGAAAAGTGTCAGATCCCCCAGAGCTGGAGCTGGAGCTGGAGCTGCAGCAGTTGCGAGGCACCTGTGGTGGTTGCTGGGAACTGAACTGAAGTAGTGCTATATGCTCTTAACCAATGAGCCTTCTCTCCAGTCACATTACCCTTTTAACTATTAATCTTGTAACTACTGTGCATGTCCAAATAGCATTTAAAGAATAACAGAAGCATATCAACTTGTAGTTGATGTCTTTTGACATCAATACTATAAGTTCAAAACTAGTCCATAAGAATACTAAGATATTTATCATTCCTGAACTCACACATCGTGGTAAGCAAACGCCCTACTGAGCAAAATGGTACCTAGAGATGGTATCTAGAATTTTGTTTGCCTCTCCCCCTTCCTTCCCTCACCTCCATATTGTAAGCTTAGGAAGCAAGGTCTCTCAGAAGGATCATTTTTTTAAAAGCACAGCCTACACAAGGAAGTCACTGGTAAGTTTATGTAGAAGCCAGGAACATACATTCACCACAACTACTCCAACAGCTGGATAAACAGCAGCATTAGAGAAGCGGTAACAGGGCTGGAGGGATAGCTCAGCCATTAAAGGTTAGGCTCACAACCAAAAACATAAGAGAAGCGGTAACAATATGATTATCTTGAGTAGCTACTACTAAAAACATGCAACATATGTGGATTTAAGCCCACATTTTTAGTGACATTTAGACTATATTTTTAGGGGATTCCCCCCCCCCCTTTTTTTCCTTTCCTCAGCTTGTAAAATTGCAAGTAAGAACACAGTTCCTTAGGGCTTGCAAGAGTCACTAAGCCATCTTCAGAACTCAAGCGGCATGGGCAAATACAAGTGCTACTTAAGTTACCTAAACCTATCTGCAGGATTTTCCGTGCACAGCCCCTGTGCAAAATGAAAGCAGCAAGGCCTCTCAGAGCCTTCAATCACACCATCCAGGAGGGCAGATAAATGCCTCTAAAATTCCCTTTCATTTTATGAACAGAGACTTCCTTGGTTAAGAGACCTTTCCATCTTTCTGCTTCCCCCTTTTCAAAGGGCTGAATTTTAATGCAAATCTAATTACTCCCTCGATCAGGGCAGGCAGATGCTGTGCAGACCTCTCTTCCTGAGCCACATGTCAGTGCAGACCTGAAAATACCCCTCCTTCCCAGCCAGAGCAGCAGTTGGGGCCTTAGGCACTCCAGCTACCCCTGGCTGGACACAGGAGAACGATGACCGCTGGACACACACACACAGCCCACAGCAACACCCATCCCTAGGGGACCCTTTTCCAGTTTTTACTCTAAAACACATATTAACCCTTTCCCTACCCACAGGACACTGCTCTGGGGAAAGCCAGCCTGATTTTAATGCTGTCTAGCACCATCTAGTGGTCACAGGTTTTAAATGTTGCCAATCTTTTCAGGTATTTTGTCAGAATGTGATCAAAGAATATAAAATAAATCGAACAATAGTCCAAACTACTTCATATCTCTAGAACTAAAATAACTCAAAAGCAGAAACTTATGCAGACTAGTAAAACCTATCTGAATGACTCAGTACTTTTTTTTAACCAACTTCACGCTCATGGGTTCTTTTTTTTTAAAGAATAAAATAACACCTATTCAAAACTATTGGTTTTAGGGCTGTAATTTTATCTGATTCTTCTAAAATAAAGTACTCATTGGTAGAATATTACAAGGTAAGTGTACAGAAGAAATGAGAATTTTCTTTTGATCTATGAAACTTCCCCATTGAGCTGTTATTTTCTTTCATGCATCTGAATATGTATCTATACTATCTTTACTGTTCCTTTTGTTTGTTTTGTTTTGCTTTTCAAGACAGGTTTCTCTGTGTAGTCTTGGCTGTCCTGGAATTCACTCTGTAGACCTCCTGGACTCAGAGGTCCACCTGCCTCTCTGCCTCCCTAGTTCTGGAATCAAAGGTGTGCGCCACCACTTGCAGGCCTATCTTTACATTTTAATCCTTTGGTGTTTTAAAGGACTTAGAAAGTGGAGGATTTAAGTTATTTGTTGGTCATCCGATCTAAGTATATAAGGTAATGGAAATACTAGAATCGATATAATATTTAATGTTCTTCTGGTCACTGAAAAATACAAAACTCAAAATCTGACTATGGTAGTAATGTATAATCTGCAGAAAGAAGAGTGTAACCACATTAGCCTTAAGTTTATTGCCACTTTTCATGATAAGTAAAAAATCTAATGGCATGGCATTAATTCCCAGCATGAAATGCAAGCGAGAGACCAGAGGCTCCAAAACGGTCTCAAACAGAGAAGAGCTGACTCGAACTAGACTCCGTGAGGATGGAGGCTGCTGGCAGCTATACACACCTGGATGAGGAGGGGATGTGTGGGCCACCTGTCAATTGTGCTCCACTTCATGGTGGGCTTCCGTCCCATCTCGTTATAGTATCTGTAAATGGCATTTAAGCTGCTGCCTAAAATACAAGGGAGCCATTTAGTAGACACACTTGATTGTGGTGAAAATACAACACAGACGAGTAAGGGCAATAATTGTAAGTTCAAAGTAGGCAGCTGTGTCTATACAGAAACCCAGTCTAATTACGATCTTTTCAATACTCTAAAATGCATATAGATTTAACTACCCTGCAAATGAAGATCACTAAAGAGCAATCAATTTCAACAGACCTTCAAAGATTATTGAGGCCATTTCCACTGAGAGACATGAGGACTGCAAGTTTATGAAATATAAGCTATTGTGAATTTTCAGGGATCAAGTCTTAAAATTGAGAGCATGTAAAGAAAAGCATTCCCATTATGACCGGAATCAGCCCCATTACAGGCAGTGTAGGGGGTGAGAGAGAAAGACAGAAGTGGGCTGTTATCCCAGCATGCTGATGTTGCTTTGTGTCATTCTAGTACAGCTGTTTTCTGGTATTTTCCTTTATAGCTGTTTCACTTTATAAAGTCTTCACGTTAGAATATGCATAGAATATGCATATGCACGTTAGAATATGCACGTTAGAATTGCATAGAATATTGCAATTATATCTAGAGCATTTTGGACATTTTCCAGTCAATATTACAAGTTAAATATTTCTAAGGTTCAAACGGAAGCTTTGGGGCCACCCTTTCTAAAGGTGCAATCATAGGGCAAGCAGCATATCAAGAGGTCTAAAAGCCCGCATTTAATCAATTTTTACAAAATGTACCATTCCTTGGAAGAAAGGAAACAAATGCTGCCCTCTGGCAGGTAACCTAACAAGAGCTGTGTTTCTAAGTAAAAGATGAATATGATGACAATCCAAAGTCCAGGAGAGGAAGCTGACACTGGGGTCAAATTCTAATGCCTATAAAACCAACCCTAATGGGGGCCTTTTACTCAGTCTCACACAAAGCAAGCCCCAACATGTCTATGTCCTGCCTATCGCCAGCTTCCTGGGTTCCTTATCATAGGAATCATGGTTAACTTGCCAGTTTAAAAGGCTTACTCAGGACAGAGTCATAGTTTAATTCAAATTGTTTGCCCAGGCTAAGATTCAACTTGCATTAAAAAGAAAAATCAATGAACTCCATTTCAATGAGTAGAAACAGTGATGTAAGAGAATCTAAATTTGAGGGACAAAAATAATCCTCATAGAAATCAAAGTATCCCATCATATGCATACTGCAGATCTCACTGCACATCTGGACATCATTTTATGATGTATAAAATGGCTTCTGGGAGCCACATTAGCTCCGTCAAGTCACTGGACAACAGTCAATATCCTACCGGAAGAAATAATTAAGACGGGGGAAATATAAGTGAGAAAGATGTCATAAGAGATTTACAGAACTCACAGTTCCTGTTTAAAAGACACAGTTGCGAAAGGAGACTATTGGCCTCAAAGAATAAATGTGTTCCCTAAAGCATCCATAGCTCAGAACTACAGATGCTTGGTCCTTATACATGAGATGCACTAGAGAAAAGCCATGTGTGCCCCAAGCCCTGCCCACAGAGCAAGAACCATCGGTGAGGTAAAGAGTGCATCTGTTGCCACACAGATAACAACTGTAACTCACTCATGTACTTTGGAGAGCAGACATCTGTAAGTTGAGGGACATTTTGCAAAGCAAGATAAAAATACACCTTGAAAATCCTAAGATCTGACTCATTCCTCAATAATATATTACCAGGTATTTTAAAAGTATAGATTCCCACAGTAAATCACAATTCAAATTTCTGGGTGTATACAAAAGATTGGGC